GGAGATGGATGTGTTCATAATCATCTTTAGTCTGAGAAGAGCTTTTTGTAATCATCTTTAGAAATGTTTTGATTTGAAGTATTTTGATTCTTAAACTATTAAAGATCACTGATTGTGTCTTTTAATTGTCAAACTTGATGCTTCATATGACCAGTAGAGGGCAGGACTGCAATGAACCATCTGGGTCTTGTATAAATCATGCCTGTGGAGAAAAAACATGAGGTTCAATTTTTAGCTCAAACTCAGGTTGTATAAAAACTCTAAAAGCAGCAGTTTCAGTGTAAAGATTTAAAACTAGTTTGAAAAACCTCAAACACTATTTTCTTCTAAAAAATATCTCTAGTTGTTTATAAACCACTTTTTCTAGATTGTGAGAGTTTGGATATAGACCTTTAATTTTCAGAAGTATTGAGAGCAGATTTCTTAAAAAGGCTAAATTACTGCTTCATTTTCTTAGAAATTCTACTAATAGTCTTTATTTCTAAAGTGTTTACAACAAAGGTGTCACAAGTATTCATGTTAATTTCTCAAGTAGAAGTATAAATCTTACTGTTTACACTTTTTTTAGAAGTTAGAATTAACTTCAGATTTTTACTCAAGTAAATTTTTAAAGCTACCAATTAAAGGAACATTTTTCTACAATTCTGGAAGATAACTTCCTTATACTTTAGTTTCTTAGTTGTATGACTAATAGTAACAGTGTGAAATTTAACTTTAGATCATCTTGAAGAATGATTTATTTTGGTTTGTGGCGAACAACAAGTTGGTGCAGCAAAGAAATTAATTGTCTGGATGAAGCAAATTATTTTGATTTATTATTTTATACCAACAGGCCATAACGAACATGAGCTTAAATGTCACCAGTCTATTTTAAAATGTAAGAAATAAAAAGTAGAGATAATTGCAAAAAAAAGTGTATTTAGTAGTAAAAAGTTCACAAAAAACTCAGTGTGAGCGGCCATCTGCTGAGGCCGACTGAGGTTCAAGGAGACAGGCTGGTCCATCAGATTTCTAGATGGAGAAATGTGATCCATCACTCCAGAGAATGTGTCTCCACTGCTCTGGAGTCCAGCAGCAGCGTGCTTCATCTCAGTTCCATGCTGGGATTCACTGAGCTCATGAGAGCGACCCATTCTTTCACAAATGTTTTTAACAACAGTCTGCATGCCTAGGTGCTTCATTATATATGCATCTGGGATGGAAGTAATCGGAACATCTGATTCCATAAATTTGAATAGATTAGCAAATACTTTTCTTGTTATACTGCATGTTCTTCTGTGAAAAGATCACGTTTTAGGATCCGTTCTGCTTTATTTCAGCATAGAAATCTCTGTTGATCTTCTTTAGAAATGTTAAAGCAGTTGCTTAAACTATTAACCGTTTGCTGCTGTGATGCAATGAATGTTTTTTTAAAACTCAGATCAGATTGATTTTATGTAAATTAAGTTTGACTAAAATTCTATTTCATATTAAAATTAAAACATTATCCTTTTAATAACTACAGCAAAAAAGCTACTTTGTTTTTCTTAGACTCCCTTTGATGATTTAATACAAAATTCTCAGACATCAATAGATTTGCTGATGATACATCCCATCAATAATGTAAACAGATATGAAAATCATTTCCTGACATTAAAGAAACTTTTTAATTGAACAACTGGAAATATGTCGTCCTTTTATCAGACTAAATAATGCAAAGAAAGTCAAACCTCTTTCTTCATTAAACTTTAAATAATTCATAAAATTTTCTTATACCTTAATGTTTTATATGTTGCTTTTGTAAATATTGCTTTTTAAGCTCATAACTAAACAGTTTTGAATAGAAGCCTTTATTGCTTCTATGCTGTAAACTTGCTGTAGTTTGTTTCCTATTCTTAATTTCAGTTCATTGTCTCATCCAGGCTGAGATGATTTAACTTTAAGCAGAAATATTGAGGCTGCAGCAACAAAAACTCTGGTTTTATTTCAGGAGGTCAGAAACAACATGGTCAATTTTCAGATGACACAGAAAACTTTTTGGTTCATGCTGGTTTTTTAAGCCCAATATAACATAAACTGCCAAAAAAAAAAAG